TCCACCCATCCATCTGTCCATCCATCCATCCATCCATCCATCCATCCATCCATCCATCCATCCATCCATCCATCCATCCATCTATATGTCCATACATCCACACGTTCATTTATCTGTCTGTTTCCGCCTATCCATCCATCTGTCCATCTGTCCATCTCTCTGTCCATCCATCCATCTATTTATCTGACTGTCTGTCTGTCCATTCATTTATTCATTCATTCATCCATCTGTCCATCTGTCTGCCCGTCCGTCCATCCGCACATTTATTTATTTGTCTGTCTCTGTCTTTCCGTCCATCTATTTATCTGTCTGTCTCTGTCTGTCCATCCATTCATCCATCTTTGTGTTTATCTGTCTGTCTGTCCGTCCGTTTATCTATTTATTTGTCTGTCTCTCTGTCTGTCCATTCATCTATCTGTCTGTCTGTCTCTGTCTGTCTATCCATCCATCTCTCTGTTCATCCGTCCATCCGTCTGTCCATCTATTTATTTGTCTCTCTGTCCGCCAACTATCTTTCTGTCCATGTGTCCATCCATCTGTTTACCTGTCTGTCTCTGTCTGTATGTCCATTCATCTGTCCATTCATCCATCCATACATCCATCCATCTGTCTGTCTGTCCGTTCATCCATCCATTCATCTCCATACATACATACCTACTTACCTTACATTTTTTAATTAATAATCAGCGTTACAGTGATGAAATGATGCAGCAAGCACAAGTCTTGCTTTGTGCATTTAGCATAAAGTGCTAAAAAAATCATACAACAGCATAGCAGTGCATTACATTTACAGCACTTTCATTGGGATATTGCATAATCAGCTGGCACATGCACAGAGGGCACTTGCTCTTTGCTGAAGGTTGTCCAAAGGGTTTGCTCCCTGTCCAGTGTGACTCAGCATGTTATGATGTCACTGTTTTTCCCCTCTTTTCCCCAGATAAATGCCTGCTTTGCTTTTATTCTGTGTTAAACAAAAGGAAAAACATGGCCCCACCGTCCTGAGGGAGATTTGACAGTCTTTCTCTCATGAACAGATGACAGGAGTGTTTTATCAAAGCAGGAGCTTTTGCTAGAGGCTGGATGTGTGAGTGTGTGAACGTGTTTTTCTGTGTGTGTGACCATGTGCCTGTCTGAGGATGACATGCTGATGAGGTCTGCAAGAGGCTTAAAAAATTTAATAAAAAAGCTGTTTTTGTCACAGTGTAACAGTGATTTGCTATTCACAACCCATTCAACATATGTAATGTATTTCTGAGTGAAACGAGAATAAGATGCACTGATGAAATTTTTATTGCTTCTTCCTGGTTTTATTGTGAACAAAGCAAATAATTTTGATTTTATATTGGCTTTATGAAAAAAAAGAAAAAGAAAAGCCCTGTTCACTTTTAGCTAGAATTTCTTTTAAACATTTAGTTTTCTAGAAGAAGTCTGGGAGAATAGATCTAATTATGAGCTAGCAGTGTATGAATTGGAACCTGTTTGGTTTGTGGTAATAGCTAACAGTCGTCAACGATGGCTAACAAGCTTTAACCAGGCAGGGAACAGCCTTGGCTCCAGACACCAGGCTTCAGGTCCATTAGGTTTGGCATCATACAAGAAGAGAAAAGGCACTCAAGCAGAAAAAGAGTCAAATTCAGGGGACATATTGACTTCTTTGGCAAGTACTCTGAGCTGAGAGTGTAAAAAAAGGAATAGACAAAAAGAAAAAGAAGAAACAACAGAGTTAAAGAGAGCAGTGGACCTGTACAGGAGGGAATGAGAGCGAACAAGAACAGAGGATAGAATATAAGAGAGCTGAGCACTGGAGGAATGCTGATCCCTGCATATTTAGCTGACAGATGGTCCATCTGTCCATCCATCCATCCATCCATCCATCCATCCATCTATCTATATGTCCATACATCCACACGTTCATTTATCTGTCTGTTTCCGCCTATCCATCCATCTGTCCATCTATGTCTGTCTCTGTCCATCCATCCATCTATTTATCTGACTGTCTGTCTGTCCATTCATTTATTCATTCATTCATCCATCTGTCCATCTGTCTGCCCGTCCGTCCATCCGCACATTTATTTATTTGTCTGTCTCTGTCTTTCCGTCCATCTATTTATCTGTCTGTCTCTGTCTGTCCATCCATTCATCCATCTTTGTGTTTATCTGTCTGTCTGTCCGTCCGTTTATCTATTTATTTGTCTGTCTCTCTGTCTGTCCATTCATCTATCTGTCTGTCTGTCTCTGTCTGTCTATCCATCCATCTCTCTGTTCATCCGTCCATCCGTCTGTCCATCTATTTATTTGTCTCTCTGTCCGCCAACTATCTTTCTGTCCATGTGTCCATCCATCTGTTTACCTGTCTGTCTCTGTCTGTATGTCCATTCATCTGTCCATTCATCCATCCATACATCCATCCATCTGTCTGTCTGTCCGTTCATCCATCCATTCATCTCCATACATACATACCTACTTACCTTACATTTTTTAATTAATAATCAGCGTTACAGTGATGAAATGATGCAGCAAGCACAAGTCTTGCTTTGTGCATTTAGCATAAAGTGCTAAAAAAATCATACAACAGCATAGCAGTGCATTACATTTACAGCACTTTCATTGGGATATTGCATAATCAGCTGGCACATGCACAGAGGGCACTTGCTCTTTGCTGAAGGTTGTCCAAAGGGTTTGCTCCCTGTCCAGTGTGACTCAGCATGTTATGATGTCACTGTTTTTCCCCTCTTTTCCCCAGATAAATGCCTGCTTTGCTTTTATTCTGTGTTAAACAAAAGGAAAAACATGGCCCCACCGTCCTGAGGGAGATTTGACAGTCTTTCTCTCATGAACAGATGACAGGAGTGTTTTATCAAAGCAGGAGCTTTTGCTAGAGGCTGGATGTGTGAGTGTGTGAACGTGTTTTTCTGTGTGTGTGACCATGTGCCTGTCTGAGGATGACATGCTGATGAGGTCTGCAAGAGGCTTAAAAAATTTAATAAAAAAGCTGTTTTTGTCACAGTGTAACAGTGATTTGCTATTCACAACCCATTCAACATATGTAATGTATTTCTGAGTGAAACGAGAATAAGATGCACTGATGAAATTTTTATTGCTTCTTCCTGGTTTTATTGTGAACAAAGCAAATAATTTTGATTTTATATTGGCTTTATGAAAAAAAAGAAAAAGAAAAGCCCTGTTCACTTTTAGCTAGAATTTCTTTTAAACATTTAGTTTTCTAGAAGAAGTCTGGGAGAATAGATCTAATTATGAGCTAGCAGTGTATGAATTGGAACCTGTTTGGTTTGTGGTAATAGCTAACAGTCGTCAACGATGGCTAACAAGCTTTAACCAGGCAGGGAACAGCCTTGGCTCCAGACACCAGGCTTCAGGTCCATTAGGTTTGGCATCATACAAGAAGAGAAAAGGCACTCAAGCAGAAAAAGAGTCAAATTCAGGGGACATATTGACTTCTTTGGCAAGTACTCTGAGCTGAGAGTGTAAAAAAAGGAATAGACAAAAAGAAAAAGAAGAAACAACAGAGTTAAAGAGAGCAGTGGACCTGTACAGGAGGGAATGAGAGCGAACAAGAACAGAGGATAGAATATAAGAGAGCTGAGCACTGGAGGAATGCTGATCCCTGCATATTTAGCTGACAGATGGCTGAAATACAGGTATTTTTACATACAGTCAGGTCAAGATCCTATAGATCAGTGGTTTTCAACAGTTGGGTCGGGACCCAGAAACAAGTCTCTTCAGATTAGAGATGTATAAAACTATGTCTTTGACAAGAGCTAGATACAACAGATGATAATCTACTATTTAAAAATGTTAGACAACATTTCGTACGTCTTAAATCTAAAATATGTCAAATATATACATAAGAAAAAAATCTTTAAAAACTCAAACTGTTGGACAAATAGTTCACCATCATGACCCATAGTCAGGATTAAAAAAAAACTGTTTTGTTCACATTTGTAGGAAAGAAACAATGCCTAATGCACTATATAATCATCAATAGTTATAGCAAAATAAATCAACTTTTAAAAAGGAGGGAGAAACGTTTGTCATTTTTAGTTGTCGTCAAAGGTTGAAAATCTGTATATCTTGTTGCAAAATCATTTGTGACTTGGTTGAAGCTAGTCAGATCCTTGAAGACTATAACAACTCAAAGTTAAAAAAAACAAAACATAAAAGCAACATAAAGCCACATTCACAACTGTGCCATTTGATTTACACAGGATATGATTTTAGTTTACTGATATGCCTCATATTTATCTTTTTGGCCCAGCATTTGGAGAATAACACGTGTTACATTTACAAAATTGTCAGTTTTACTGTTAATGTCATGTTAATATTGTTGTATATTATTGGGTCTATGCAGTTCATTGTAACATTGCAATGTTACATTTTAAGGAGTTTCTTAGCTTTGTAGTTTAAAACTTTTTGCTATTGTGATTATGTCCAATGAAAAATTGGGTTCTGAAGCAAAACCAGTTAGGAGCAACTGATATAGACATGTCGCCTTCAACCTCAGCTGAAACAATTTCGGCACTCCTCCAAATGCTGAATTTAATTGCTGCTTGGATCATATCAAATAGCATGATTGTCTTCCCACAGATGAGCGTTTGATAGCAGCCTGAACTCAAATAATACATCAATCCAGATCAAACAGACTGCGAGCTCTCGGCTTGTCTCTCCTCAGCTTTCATTAGAACTAACTGCCTGGGGGACTCAACAAACCACATATTTTCAATCCTTAGAGAAACCTTGGATTTAATGTAAAAATCAATGCTTGTTCTGCCTCTGTTTCCTGTTCAGCCCTGTTCTGAGGTCTTGCAAAGGAGGCATCTCCGTAAATAAATGTGTTGTATTCCTGATTTGCTGAATTTTCGTTACACTACTAATAGGACTAAGCCCACAGAAATCCACGCTCACCGGGCTGCTTTTTTGATCGTGTTAGGATTGCGGTCGTAGCTTTTGACCTCTCTGGTTTCTCTTCCTGTCTTTTGCAGATAATGACGACCATAAGAATGAAAAAGATGCCGGTGTTGAAGAAGGTGAGTGACAGTGTTTCCTAATGCGGTGTTCACAATTGCAAACAAGATGGGAAATTATCACATCCAATATCCTGCAGCCCGACGAAGTTTAATCCACGGCATCTGAATCACTCTTCCCATGATTAATCGGGCCTTTTGTTGTGGGTGGCAGCTCTACAATTGCCTATAAACAAGAAAACAAGAGTCTGCATTTTCTCTCCGAATGCCTGAAAAAGTTTTGCTGGTGTTACTATGTGTAACTTTGGTCTTTTGGCAAGTTAATTGAGATGAAGGTTGCCAGGTGTTGTGCTCTTACAGGCCTGAATTGTTTTGGACCATATTCAGATTGATTGAAAGCTAATCGGACTCGAATGAAACGTTATCAAATGGGAATGCAATTTGCTTGGCACGTCTTCTTTTAACGGCGGTCCATTCAGATGCAAATCACCTTACCTTCTTTGTTGACTTTCAGAAAAGCAGAAGAGATTACAAGGCCTTCATCTGGAAGCCTCTTTAACTGTACATTAACGGTGACAAAAAGAGATAGAAAATAAAGGTGTTTCATTGTGACTAATGCGCGTTTGCTACAGGAGCTAAATAGACAGCGGCAGGTACAGCATTACAAACGATTCAGTGCTAAGCTAATTCCCAGCAGTAGACCCTTAAATCCGGCTTACATAGCCACAATGGTCGCAAACCTGCTTAAGCGACTGTCAAAAAGACAACTGAGTATCATACAATGGTAATCCAATCTGGGCTTATCTCTCGGTTTAGGCTGGACTACAAAACTGTACAGGTTGGATGATACCAGTCTCTGAGAACGCTATGCAAGGGTTTCAGTCAGACTGCAGTAACAGTGTTTTTATTGTTAACTAAAGCTATGAAAAATTGTTTGTGCTAACTAAATTAAACTGAAATAAAATATATTAGATTAAAACTTGAACACTTGAAAAACGTAGAAATGTTGCCTTGTCAACCAGATGAAATCAAACAAGTTTAAATGGAAGTACTAAAATTACTATAACTAAAAGTGAAATTTAAAAAAAAATCTGATAGAAATATTTATTAAATATGAATTAAAATTACAAAAACTTAACAAAATTGCTAGAAATAAAATAAAAATATAAGCTAATTAAAAATAATAATAATAATAAATATTACAATAGTACATAAATAATACTAAAATAACACTGTATAGTAGTGTTTTTTTTTTCAGTTAAGCTGCAAAACTGAACCCAGGTCAAACATGTCTCCAGCAGTCACTTAAACTCCATGGGATTATGAGATGGAGATTTTCTGGCAGGGTAACAAGGCCAGCATTGATCGCTTCCACAAAAGTTAGATGATTGAAAACACAGAGGGTGAAAGAGAAGGAGTGCTAAATGAAACATCTTAAAGGAGGAGAACATTTTCATACCTCAACGACATGAAGTGAAAAAAGTAGCATGCTGTGATTTTTACTACAAATGTGAGAAGCTGTTCACAGGACTGGAGCTGTAAGCCAAGACGCCCATCAAAACCAGATCAGATTTTTTCTGCACCTAGCTTTGACTTTTTTACGGCTGCGCTATAAACCGGTATTTTAAAGCAGTCCAACAAGCGTCTAATAGCCCTCTGAACTACTGTAAGATCTTGTGTTGGGGCTTTGTGGTTGTGTTTACTTCTGCACAAAACCAGAGAGACCAATCACCTCTTTTGTGGACACTGTTATACCTCATTGTAAACACTGGACCGGGATGACCTGACATGGCAACACCTATCAGGATTCTATCTTGTTCACAACACACCAAGTATCACGTCTGCACACACACACACACACACACACACTGTAGCTCCCAGCGCCCTGCTTTTCCTGCCCCAGCAGTTTCGGCTAGCTTAGCCTCTGTTTCATTCAGTGAATGTCTGACTGGCAGCCAAGCCCTGGCCTTTAGCAGCGCTTCACTTAGCCGGGGCTCTGATTCTCTCTCTTTTTCTCTGGAACCAATTCAAAGGCTCAAATGGTTGCCATTCTCACATGGAATTGAGGCTTTTTCCCCCTTATCCCCCTGTATCAGCTCTCTCCTGCTCTCTATCAATCAATCCGTTTCTCTCCCTCTCTCTGTTTCACCTTTTTTTTCTTGCTGTCTTTCACCGAAATCCCTTACGCTACACTTTTACAGGCACCATTTTTTATCAGCTGGGTTTTGCAGAGGCACACAAAAGCCCCTGTTGATGCAGAATCACCTGGTGCATGTATATGCACTCCAGCAAGGCCTGCGACACAATAGCAGGATATTCCTTCGCTCATTTCAGCCTTATCAGAGCTGTTCAGTATTGGCAATCTGTGCCTTGTAACCTTAGATTTTTAAGGAGCTGGCAGCCCTTTTTCAGTTCTGGGATTAATAGAGAGCTTTTTTTTTAGTTAATGCATGTATAAAGGAGAACAACTACTAATAAACATATTTCTTTTTTATTGAGTTTAATTGAATTTAAGGCTGATGAAAATGAGGCTGTGAGGGATAAACTTAGCAGACAATGTATAAAAGTCCTAGATTTTCGGCAGCTCACAACTTTGTTATATGGAGGTTTTGTCTACTGAATGTTTCTTTTGGAACGATTTTTCATCAGCTCAACAATCGTTATGTTGTTAAACAACAGTATATAATCCATTGAATGCACTGTACTTCTATCCCATGCAGCCTTGTTTTTATTATTGCCAAAAATTTAATATGGCACTACACTGACTAAGGTATATTACACAAGTAAAACGTTCTAATGGAATCTAACTGTACTTCTTAATATTTATTGTGCAATTTGTTAATTAGCAGTGCTTACTAATTATTTATACTGCTGTTAAATCATAATTAATTTAGGTTTTATTTTATTTTTATTTTTATTTTGTTGTTGTTTTTGTTTTCTTTTCAATCACCCAGAACCAGTGTTGCCAACTGCTTTCAATTGAAAGTAGCTAAAACTGGTAGCTAAATGTCACTAGATAACATCACAATGACAAATTCACTGATCTATATAAAGATGAACGTAGATCAGTGGGCAAGATGAGAACTTAGATAAGGTTTGTCCAAGAAGTTGCTATATTTGTCCCTAAACTTTTGAAAAGTCTCAAAAGGGGCAGGGAAGTCGCTAAATCTAGCTACAAAGTAGCTAAATTGGCAACACAGCCTAGAACACCTTTTTTTTCCAGAAAATTTTAATTTCTAGTTTTCTGATGAAAGTTCTTATGAGTGGTATAATTTTATCAACAGGTAACACGGAGCCCGTGGAAGGAGGGGAAGATGATGATGTTGCTGATAAAAAAGGTATGAGAAAATCTGTGTTCTTGTGAGCGAATGTTCAACTGTCAAAGTCAGTATCACCCAGCATTCCCATCTTCCAAGCATTGTTGAGAGAATATCAAACTAAGTCTCTTCGGGATGTTCTGTCAGGGTGTGGAAACCTGTTTAAGGAGCCATTAGCTTTCGAATTCTGCCGTTTCAGCCTCTTCGGTTGTGTAGCACTGAACCAATTACTCGCTTCTCAATAAGATGGACCAAAGATAATTAAATTCTTACACTGAAGGGCGGCAGCAGGCTATTAACACCACAATTTCTCCATTTGTCTTAAAGACAGAGGGTTGGAGATGGTGTTTTTTCTTTCTTTCTTTAATATTAAAGCAAGCAGCACTGATGTCTTTGGGGAAATTTCCCCAGGCTGGTATCTCTCTTCAATATGCAGCACAAAGAAAAAAGTCATTTTTTCAGTAAACTGATACTTTAGCAAACAACAACCTACCAGATTTTGCTTTTCTAAACAACAAACATATTCCAGGACTACCCTTACAAACATTTACCATAGTTTCTACCAAATACTGATGCTACTATAAAATCAAGTCAATATTTAACAATATGTGACCCTGGACCACAAAACCAGTCATAAGGGTCAATTTTTTTTTATTGAGATTTATACAATCTCTGAAAGCTGAATAAATAAGCTTTTTATTGATGTATAGGATAGGACAATATTTGGAAAATCTGGAATCTGAGGGTGCAAAAAAAATCAAAATATTGAGAAAATCGCATTTAAAGTTGTCCAAATGAAGTTCTTAGCAATGCATATTACTAATCAAAATTTTTTTGTTTTAATATATTTACAGTAGGAAATTTACATAATATCTTCATGGAACATGATCTTTACTTAATATCCTAATGATTTTTGGCATAAAAGAAAAATCAATAATTTTGACCCATACAATGTATTTTTGGCTATTGCTACAAATATACCCCAGCGACTTAAGACTGGTTTTGTGGTCCAGGGTTACATATTTTTTTTATTATATTTTTACAGTTGTTCTTAGTAAGTTAACACTTTTGCTGGAAACTATATGGTTAACATGGTATATTTTTGTAGGGGTACACTGTAACGTACACTGGAAAGTATTCAGACCCCCTTAAATTTTTCACTCTTTGTTATATTGCAGCCATTTGCTAAAATCATTTAAGTTAATTTTTTTCCTCATTAATGTACACACAGCACCCCATATTGACAGAAAAACACAGTATTGTTGACATTTTTGCAGATTTATTAAAAAAGAAAAACTGAAATATCACATGGTCCTAAATATTCAGACCCTTTGCTCAATATATATTAACTGACAAACTTGGAATACTAACATACTGAATTGCTGAAATCTTGTACCTTTATAATACACTGACAACCACCACAAAACACAAGTGGTTCATAAATACATATAAAGATGGCACCGCAAATGGCACCCACGACGCTGAGCTCCGCAATTCTTCTGATGTTTTTGTTTGTTTGTTCTGTGTTTTGTCATTCTTCTTCTATAAGTTTTACCAAAGACAAACTCCTTAACATTAAGCAACACATCCCAGACAATATTTTTCCGTTTTTTGATTATTCTGAAGTTTTGTTGGACATTCTAGTCGGAGGTACAGCCGTGTTGTTCAAACGCGCATGAAGACGCAGAAGAGGGAAACGCACCAACACCCTGGTTAAGCCCCGCGCACGCGGCTTTCAAACTGCGCTCCCAAGCATTCATCTCGCGAATGTCCGTTCCCTTCCTAACAAAATGGATGAACTTCTTCTCCTCACCCGCACCCACAAGGACTTTTCAAACTCTGTTGCACTGTGCTTCACTGAAACCTGCCTGAGTGAAGCCATTCCGGATAACGCGTTTCATCTGCCGGGCTACCAGCTGTTCAGAGCGGATCGCATCGCAGAGCTAACGGGGAAAACGAGAGGTGGTGGATTGTGTTTCTACATCAACAAAAGTTGGTGTTCAGATGTAACAATGCTGAAAAAGGTATGCTGTCCTAACTTGGAGGCATTCTTCATAAACTGTAAACCTTTCTACTCGCCATGGGAGTTTTTCTCTTTCATTCTCGTGAATGTGTACATTCCCCCGGACGTGTGCGTGAGTGCCACGATGCAACAGCTGGCCAAACAAATAACTGAAATGGAGCAAAGGTACCCAGACTCTATTTTAATCATTCTTGGAGATTTTAACAAATCAAATCTCTCCCGTGAACTGCCAAAATACAAGCAGCACATTACATGTCCCACCAGAGACAGTAATATATTGGATCACTGTTACACCACAATAAAGGATGGTTATCACTCTGTCCCACGAGCAGCTTTGGGGCTCTCTGATCACGGTTTAGTTCATCTTATACCGACCTACAGGCAGAAATTGAAATCAGCTAAACCTGTATTTAGGACTGTAAAAATATGGACTAATGAAGCAGAGCGGGATTTACAAGCCTGTTTCGACCTCACTGATTGGAGTGTTTTTGAAGCTGCTGCCACTGATCTGGACGAGCTCACAGAGATTGTAACTTCATATATCAGTTTCTGTGAGGATATGTGCATCCCCACCAGGACATTCTTATCATTCAATAATGATAAACCGTGGTTTACTGGGAAACTCCAACATCTCCGTCACGCCAAAGAGGATGCTTACAGAAGTGAGGATAAAATCTTGTATAACCAGGCCAGGAACAGACTAACAAAGGAGATCAGAGTGGCTAAAAAAACTACTCTGAAAAGCTGAGAAAAGCTGGTCCGGCGTCAGTATGGACTGCTCTGAGGAACATCACCTTGTACAAGACACCACCTCCACAGTCTGTAGAGAATCAACAACTGACTGACGATCTGAATGTGTTTTACTGTCGATTTGAAAAGGCCAGACTGCCACCCCCCATCCGCTCTGATCTGCACTTCACACCTTCACCTACCACCCCTGCAACCCCCCTCCCTCCCAAAGAGGATGCTTACAGAAGTGAGGATAAAATCTTGTATAACCAGGCCAGGAACAGACTAACAAAGGAGATCAGAGTGGCTAAAAAAACTACTCTGAAAAGCTGAGAAAAGCTGGTCCGGCGTCAGTATGGACTGCTCTGAGGAACATCACCTTGTACAAGACACCACCTCCACAGTCTGTAGAGAATCAACAACTGACTGACGATCTGAATGTGTTTTACTGTCGATTTGAAAAGGCCAGACTGTCACCCAGCACCCACTCTGATCTGCACTTCACACATTTACCTACCCCCCCTGCAACCCCCTCCCTCCCTCCTCCACCATTCAACCTGCGATTAAGGTCTGTGTAGAGGATGTGAACCAGGTCTTCAGAAAGCAGAAATCTAAGAAAGCTTCAGGCCCAGACGGTGTTTCACCTGCCTGTTTAAAAGTCTGCGCTGACCAACTGGCCCCCATCTTCATCTGATCTCTGGAGCTGTGTGAAGTTCCCTGCTGCTTCAAACGCTCCACCATCATTACGGTCCTCAAAAAGCCCAAAATCACTGGACTTAATGATTACAGACCTGTCGCTCTCACGTCTGTGGTCAAGTCATTTGAGCGACTAGTCCTGGCCTACCTGAAAGACATCACTGGACCCTTGCTGGATCCTCTTCAGTTTGCCTAAAGAGCAAACAGGTCCGTTGATGATGCAGTCAACATGGGACTGCATTATATCCTACAACACCTCGACAGACCTGGGAATTACGCAAGGATCCTATTTGTGGACTTCAGTTCGGCCTTCAATACCATTATTCCTGACCTTCTCTCAGACAAACTCACACAGCTCTCGGTGCCCACTTTCATCTGTCAATGGATCACCAGCTTCCTGACAGACAGCAGCTAGTGAGGCTGGGCAAACTCACATCCAGGACTATCACGATCAGCACTGGCGCCCCTCAGGGTTGTGTTCTCTCCCCGCTGCTCTTCTCCCTCTACACGAATGACTGCACTTCAAAGGACCCCTCTGTCAAGCTCCTGAAGTTTGTGGATGACTCTACAGTCATCGGCCTCATCAAGGACGAAGACGAGTCTGCTTACAGACATGAGGTTAAAGAGCTGGCTGTCTGGTGCAGTCTTAACACCTGGAGCTTAACATGCTCAAAATTGTGGAGATGATATTGGACTTCAGGAG